CTGGACTTGTAGCCATTATTTTGTGCCCATGTGGCTGGACACCACAAGGCACGACGAACCCGATCGAACCGTTATACCTAGGATTTCTGTCGGCTAATGCGTCTCTCAGGTTTTGAAAATGGCCCGACAACTCGTGTAGTGTGCGCTGGACATTACACTAAGGAAGAGCACGGGAGTTGAGCCTTTTTTCATTCAGTGTCATCAACAGAAAGAAAAAAAGACAGGAAGAGACGATAAAGCCGGTAATTAAAATGAGGTCGATAGGTTTAATTTATTGTGCGATTAATTGATTTATCGTTTATCGCGACAGGCCTATATGTCATTAAAAAGTGCTGTGCCACTATCCTCTACTACTTCCTGTTGTCTTCTTCATTTTTTTCTGCCATTTTTTCTGCCAGTGGCAACATCCGCTAAAAAGTGTTTCTATTGCAGTTTTGCTAATCAAATCAATTTTGATACAACCAAAAAACCACCTCCTCCTAGCAGGAAAACTTTTTATTAAAAGTCTTCTTTTTTTTTTTATTACTGTGCTTCTATTAAGCAAATTTATTTTCAAAATGTCAAATTGTGTGATTACATCATCAGTGTAGACACAGCTAATGATTCTAGACGCTACTGGGGGATATCAAAGTAAAGAGGAATGAATACAAATGCATGCCACACTTTTAAGATTTTATACATTGAGAATTTTCAACATGCCGCCTTTTCTTTCCAGTTTACAACCAGCCAGTAGTTTGTGTTGGTATATCACATTAAAAATAAAAAAAAAACATGTATGCTAGATTTTCTTATATCAAATAGAATATGACAGAAAAATCATAGAATAATTTGATTTAACTTCTTTCTTACATTCAGCTACAAAGCAGGAGTGCTAGCTTACATTTTCTTAGAGCCTCTGTTCACCAATAGCATGTCCTAGTAGTCTCTTCCTGCCACCGTTGGGTTTCATGGCTAAAGGTAAGCATAACTTAACAGTAGCAGGCTAGCAGCAAAGACCTTCTTCAAAGGCACAGGTGCTAACAAAACTCATGGTAGCCGTAGCAGTACTGCTTTAGAAAAGGAGAGAAATAAATAATAAACAGCTGAAACCAATTCTCTACTTGTTGTTTCTAATTACGTACAGGCCATTAACACTGCAGCACAACTAACCGCTAAAGCAATTTAGAAAAATAGCAGTTTAAAAACTACAAAGAGCCATTGCTTCAAAGATCCAAAGAAAAAACACCAGCTTTTATATCTTCAGTCGAAGCCGAAGATGGAGCTTCAATATCAGCAAACAATAGCCGTCAGGATAGAAGCTGTCCCAACAATGACTGCTGTCTGCATTTAATGGCCATTGCTGTGGACTCCTGAAACTATAAAAACTTTCTGAAGAAGCATACATAGAAACAATTTTATGCCAACAGTCATCGTGTGAAACCTTTTAAACTTCACCGAACAGCACCATCGAAGAACAGAGTACGCCTTTGTTTGTGGTAATGCTAACAAATATGTTGGTAGTCATAAAACCTTCACAGAGGGAAAAGAAAGAAATTTGCTAAAGTAGAATCTCTTCTTGTTCTCGATGATGTGTGTGAAAACATTTACCTTACGGGACAGCTAGCAGCTACAGAAGAGGAGCAGCTTAATCGCCAGCAGTGCTAACAAAGTAGATGCTAACACCATGGATAAGATTTCCTTACAAGCTGATATTTCTTGAAAAGTCATTCTTTCACTGATTATTATTATTTTTGCTCTCTGGCAGCCATTTTATTAATCATAATTTCAGGGATTACATTCAAACATCTTAAGTGTCAGTAAAGCTGTGAAGGTAGAACTTTGAAGTTGACAAAACATAAAAGTTCATCGGACGAGGGCTTTGAGTGCCTGAGAGAACTCAAAGTGGTGCCAAGTTGCTAGAAAACATTGGAGTTAATACATTTTATAACTGAAAAAGGCAATAGTTATAAATATTATTGCTGCAGTACATAAAGTATTTGCCACTTTAATTCTGGTTTCTTATATATATATAGTACTCAGAAACACAGAGCACTTTATAAAATTCCTATTCTGTCCAGTGAAGGAGTGTTTTACGTACACGTGAATCTGTAATCTTTTGTTACTTTAACAAACCAAAAACAATCAATTACCCCGAGACCATCTTTAAAACATTCCTCTTCCTGTTCCAAGAGCTTGCGTGGAGCATAAACGACGAGAAGACCCATCGGTTTGGGTTTACAGCGAACACAGCCTTGGCTACGCAAAACCCACAATAAAAGCAATTCAACACGTAACACACTCCCATGCGTTCGATGCAAAGGTTTTACTAGTGTGTGATGTCAGGATCTCATACCGTCCAGACAGCTGATTACATTAAAGCACAGACACAGTTTTTGTCCATTTTTGGTGCTGGAGGGGGGGGGAAAAAAGGAGCAAACACTAATTCAATTTATGATACTCAGCGCGGGTCTTGCCAACACATTTGGCCACATGTTTGCTCTGCATGATTCTGGTTGCCAATAAGAAGCTGGGCCCTTTCTTCCTTCTTTAGAGTTACACGAAGCACGGAGGGATAGCAGCTATTAAAACTTCGTCCAAGTTCTTGATTAGCAGGGAGACGCTGGACAGTCACAGAGTCTCTGGATGACTAAAAGCCCAGACAGGATAATTAGACACTTTATTGGTGCTTCTAAAAGTTTGTTTTACTGTGCCTTGCATAACTATTAATATCCCTTGGAGTTTTTTTTTTTTATAACTATTTTGTCACAATAGATCCACTAACTTACATTCATTTTATTAGGATTTTATGTGACTAGCATAAAGTATTGCGTTCCTGTAAAAAAGAAAAATTAATAAAGGATAATAATAATATGTTGTTTTAAAAAGTACAAATAAAGTATTAACTGAATTGAACAGATACGTTAAGCTCTCTGTACTGATTTATAAAGAAAAGACAAAGCACAAAAATCACCATTCAAAAATGCGGTGAAAATGACTCAAAAGATTCTCCTTTTAAAGCGAGAAAAGGTGTTTTCTATGCACATTGTGCCATTTTATAGCACAATCAAGTATGAATGTTACCTCCAGTTGTTATAAAAATGCTGTATAAACCAAAGAAATTTGATATCCTGATTTAATGTGTTAAAATTGAGCATCTGGCCCCTTAAGAAGCTCCTCCTCTTTCTGAAACTCCGCCTTCAAGAAGTCATCACAACATGGCTCCTCTATTAACCCTTTAGCAACGTTTTTACCAGCGTTGCACTCAGAAATAGCTCCTATAATGAGTCCCCAATTATACCAAGTATTTGCTAATTGCTGCTGGCTAGTCTGAAGGAGTGAAGAGAAACTTTGTTGAAGGCAGAGTTCAGTCCACCCAGGCATTTTGCACAGCTGACTGGTTGCCATGGGAGATTAGAGTAAAGGCTTTCTCAAACATGAATGAACAACACTCCAGATATAACAAGACGAAAAGCTCAAAAAAGTTGATTTTACCCGACGCTGCTCCTTTAAATGAAATGAGATAAGTGTCTCTCAAAAGATAACAAAATTATGTCAAAGGAATATCCGTTTGGATGGATGTTTGTCATTTTGAATTATTTGTTCTTTACTTATATCTTAAAATGTTCAGTAAAAGTTTACTTGCAAGGTCAATGTCTGTTTGGTCCAATGAGATTTTAAACCTCTATGGGTCTTTCTTGATTAAACATACAAATGTATATTAAGAATGTAAAAAAAAAAAATCATATTAGTAAAACATAAAAAATACTTTTTAGAAAAACGTTTTGCTACAAAGTTTGTTTAAGAAACAAATTACTTTTTGTGCAAAGGAGAACTTTGTCTTGTTTCTGAAAAGTCTGTATGACAACCCAGGTAAAGAAGTAAACATCAGCTAAACTGTACATATACATAGAGCTGAAACCAGAAGGTTACATACACTGTATAAAAAAAAACATTTTTTTTAACACCGTCTGACGTGAAATCAGAATAAACTTCTCTCATTTTACATCAGGATTGCCAACATTTTTGTTGCCAATAATGAGAGAATTTTTAAGGCCATTTTTATTATTTCAATTCAAACGTCATGAATGCTAATGTCAGCGTCCACAGCTCACATTTCTAGAGAATTATTTTTCAAAGTTTTATGATCAAGTTAAAAGCTGAGTGGATAAAATAGGACTTTGTTCCAGTCTGATGGTTTAATAACTTAAATAGAAGATTGAAAACAATAAATATTAAGCTTTTATATGTATTTATTCAGTCATTTAGTAGCAAAAAAGGGTTTTTGAATTGAAAACATTTATTCTGTTGATGTATAGTTTTAGATTAAAATGTGATTTTTATTAGCCAGCATCTTGAGAATTTTAAGTGCAGTCTGCTAAGCTAAGAGTTAGCATTCAACTAGAATGTAAAGAAACCAGAGCAGATTTTGTTTCGTCCACCCTTATTAATCTAAAACCCCAAAATAAAATCCAGAGCAGCCAACAACCTTCAGAAATTGACAATAACGCAAATAGTAAAAATTGTAAAAAGGAAATGCTCTGGTCAGAAACTATCCGGCCTAAATGCAAAAAATAGCACAATATGCATGGAGAAAACCTAACAGTCTCTGCGTTTGTCTGGCACGTTGAACCTTAATAAAACACGGCAACATCTGTGGAGAAGAAATGCGACGGGCTTTTCTGCGAGGTGTGGTAAAACAGAGAGCGCTCGTCTGTGGGCCCCGAGACACGTGAGCTTAACGTGACAACCGGAGCAACGTGAGCCGGGCTGCTGAGGCGTCACATTCCCAGATCGCAGACATTGTTTGATTCTCCTACATGAGCATGACCTCACTCTGAGCTGCCAGCAGACTCGGCCTGCCAGGTGGAGAAGAGCCAAGACAACCAGCGGGATCCTCCGGCTGAGCAGCAGCAGCGGTGGCGGCGGCAGCATGTGTGAGTTATCTGACGTTTATGTGAGGGTTTGTTTGAGGTGAGCAGCGTGAATTGCCTCGTTGGATCAGAGGCGCGCGTCGTACTCACCAAGCCCTTGCAGTTGCTTAGCGCCACTCGGGTCGTGCTGTGCTGGCTTCGCAGGGAGCCCACGTAGTGGCAGCGGTCCAGCACGTTGTGACGCCACTCGGGCCCCTCTTTGCCCCAGTACTCCACCGTGAAATGCTTCGACACCAGGTTGTTGTTAAGCGTCAGGTTCAGGTGGAAGTGCTTCCCGTACGCCGACAGCCTGTAGAAGATCCGGGAGCCCGGTGGGTCGGCGGCGGGGTCGGCCAGTGCGCGTCTCCGCCGGCCCGGCCGCTGGTGCTTCACGGTGTAGCTCAGGAAGTTCCCGTTCTCGTCCACCCGCACCGGGACGGTCAGCTGGTAGTGCTGCAGGTAAGACAGGAACTCCTCTTTCACAGGAACACGAGAGAAGAAGAGTGAAAAGATGAATCAGTTGGGGGGATTTTTACCAATTGTCCCACACCGTACACCAAAACACCGTATTTAACTGAAAAAACAAATTAAACTAAGTCCAGTGAATTTTGGGGTGTATGGTGAATTACAATGTTGACTTCAGATTCAACTGAAGTCAACATAATACTGCCCCTTTGCATAATACTGCAAAGGGGCAGTATTATGCAAAATTTATTTATTTATTTATTTTTTTAGATTTACATCATGTCATAATGTTATTCCCTCATCAAAAACATACCTTGGGTTTTTCTCTTGCATGTTTGAGAAATTCTTTAATTTCCCATGGCAACCATTCAGCTGTGCAAAACGCCTCAAAGTTTCCAAGCTTCTACCTCACAGAGAACCCCTTCCCCGCTGCACCCCATTAAGCTCCTTCAGACTAGCCAGCAGTGGTTAGCAAACACCTAGTGGAAGTACAAATCTGCTGAACTCATTATACGAGCTTCGTCTCAGTGCGATGCTGGTAAAACTATTGCTAAAGAGTTAACAGAGGAGAGATGTTGTGATGACTTCCTGAAGTCAGAATTTCAGAAAAAGCAAGAGGTTTTAAAGAGACAAACACCCAATTTTAAGGCTTTAAGTTAAATTTCCTTCAAGTCATACTTGAATATATAATTTTTATAACTACGGAAAGTGACATAGTGAGTTGAATGTACTACAAAATGGAACTATGTGCCTGGAAAATACATAATATTGCCTCTTTAATTAAAATGAGCATCCTTATGTGAAAACTTTTTAAACATTCATTTAGTTAATTTGAAGTAATGTGAAAGGCGGTGATATTGGAAAAAAAAAATCAGTGGGGATTATTGCAAAAAGATGATTTTAGCAAAAATAAAATTTAGGAAGGTGATGATATACAAAAAAAAATTCAGCTTCAGGTGCCGTTTAAATAATTACAACATAGATTTATTAAGTTGGCTTAAGTTACTCTTAGTAAATTTACACAAGTTAGTATCACTCAATTAGTTAACTTAATGAAAACTAAACTTTGAGGCAGCAAGTTTGCATATATTCCTAAAGTATGGAGAACTAATTAGGTTTTACGGTGCTGTCCTACCTTGAGAGCTGTGCGAAAGTCTTTGAAATTCCGAAGCTGCCATCACCACTAGGCTCAGTGTCCAAGTCAGCGTCTTCCACAAAATTTCCATAATTCGGGAAAGGCTGTGACATGGGGTGCGGCTAGAAGGCGCTACAGTCGGGTTAGAAGTGCAAAGTCTGTCTGGCGCCGCGCCGTAACAGGTCCATGGTTTCTCTTCTTCACTGAAACGCTCCTGCCTGTGTCCCGCGGCTCATTCAAGGTTTCAGATTTCCCTCGAAGGCGAGCCAGTCCACATCTCACAGGCCTCTGAATGCATGTCAGCAGCTCAGGGGAAAACGCCGTCCTCCATCGGTCTCGGGTGGAAGTCGAGAAATCAGAGGCTCTGTGTCGGACGCCTGTCCTGACTGACCCATCTGCGTTCCTATGAAGGACATCAGACTGGGTTTTACGTATGTCAGAACCATTTCTTTTGAAATCAACCTGTTGATCATGTATCTGAATATTTGGTTAAAAAAATTCCAAAATTTAAAAGCACATTTTAGTTTGAAATGACATAAAATGACAAATGAGTTAAAAAATGAACCTATCATTAGTTGCTTTGATTTGGGCAATACGACTCTTCTCTCAGGGCGCCCTTCCAGAAGGGGGCGTCTCCCCAAAAAAAATAAAAAATCAATTTAATGCTTGTCAGTGGCAAACCAACTGTCTTTAGTATTGACAATATCCAATGAACAGAGTCAGAGCTATTCCTCTGGTTTTTGATCATCTTTAGCTTAAGATTTAACATCTTTAGTCTGCTCAAACCTGGTTTTGGTACACATCGGAGTTTGAATATGCATTCACACCTCCCCAAATGAACTGGATTTTCTAGACAAACAAACTAGAGTTCAATTAAAGCGGACTAAACAGGGCTGGTTCATTCAATAAAAGTGCAATGGAAATTCAGTCCATTTACCGTTTAAGATACTTTCCCTATGGGCGTGGCTTTAACCTGTCCTTCCTCAGACAACCCCAGCCAGATTTGTCCGCATTTGTAGATACTGCATTGATCTACCCCATTTTTTTGGAATCAGCAGGTGCAAGGCGGACCTAGCTGAGTCCGGCTTGCGCAGAAGCGATTTGATTGACTGCATTTGTTGATTGGTCAGTGGATTTATGAACAACGTCTCAGCCGCCATTGTCAACCTGTAACAAGACCGTAGTAGATGGGGAAATGACTAGATGCAAAATCAATAATTCCACGGTCAGACCTTGATGTTGAAATGTTTTTATCAATTATCCAGTTGACGCTGTCTGCCTCAACTGGACAGGGTAACACCGCAATGAACAAATACACCAAGAGATTTTGGAGAAACTGGCAATTGACATAATCAGAGCACTGATGATAGTTGCTGTGGACTCATTGTCCTTCACACACATTCCCACCAACTGGGCTAGAACTGAACCAGACATTAACCAGCTAGAGTGAGACTCAATGGAGAAGAGGTTTTAGAGAACCTGGTGAACAAGCAGCCTCGTGCAGAGCAATGAACACAGGTCATAAAACAATATCTCAAGCTACGTAGATCACACAAATTACAATTTAGTCCAAAAAACATGGCAAACCTACCTTGACATAGCTGTCAATCTAAACCAGTGATTCTTAATCTTTTTTGAGGTACCGAACCCACCAGTTTCATATGCGCATTCACTGAACCCTTCTGTAGTGATAGATAAAATATGATTCCCCCCCCCAAATTCAAGACATAGGGATGACCCAACTAAAGTCTAGTTGGGTAACCCCATGATCACCAAGTCTTCTTAAAAGGTAGAGTCTCTGAGAACAGTTCTTCAAAATATAGTCAGTGTTTTCAGCAAAGTTAAGCTGACTGTCCAGGAACGACCCAAATTTGCCACAGTTTCAACAGGTTGGCCATCGATAGAAACTAGAACCACTTTAAGGTCTTGTTTAGATCATTTAATTAGCTCTACATTCTTAAAAGAATGAAAAATTAATAATAAATAATAAAGACTTTGCGGTATTCTGATTTAGTAATGTAATTATATTAGTTGTGTTACCACCCCCACGCCACTAGAGGCAGTATTAACCCCGAAAAGATGCGACTAAGGAGCAGATTTAGAAGTACACCGAAAGCTACAGAATTTGGTAAAAACAGTGAGCTTTGCTGAAGTAATTAAAGACACAAGTTCAAATCCATGCTGAGAGTGAAACTCCTTCAATCAGTGATCCTCTGCAGCACTGATGGCAAAGTGGGGCGTCATCACGACTTTACATAAGTGTGTCTTTACCTCCACGGCAGAGGCTCCGCCGAACCATCGAACCTCTGGGGTTCGATCAAACCCAGGTTAAGAACCACTGATCTAAACTGACTGTATTTTGGAAATGATCCAGAGGTTTGGTTGAGGAAGCAACTGAAAGGGGAATTATTAGCCCACAATCTGACCTGGAGTGGCAAGAAGAAAGTTATTGTTTAAAAGGATGATTTAGGAAGTCCTGTTTGAAAGGCTGCCAAAAGCCATGTAGATGACAAAGATGAGACCAAAATGAAACTTTCTCCCCTGCCCTGTAAAATGCTGTGCCTAATGCTGTCCGTCAAGCAGAACATGCTCTCTGTGAAGCACGGTGATGGAAACGTCATACTGCAGGGATGCTGTACCTCTGGGAGGGGGGGGGGGGGGGGGATTTGGGGGGGGCCTATGCGGAATTAGGAGACCAGTCAACATACTGCCTCACATTCAATAAGCAAAAACAGCAAGACCTTACAATGGGACGGCTTTAGACTGATGTTCGCTGAAGCTCATCACCCAAACTTACCAAGCTTGGGCTGGTAAAGACATACCCTGAAAGAGAGTTCTGCAAACTACTGACTTGTGGGAAGGGTGGCGAGGCAGGGCACCACTCATGTAAGAACCACCACTGTATACTGGGTAAACAGAAGGTTTTGCTTCACCTCCTCTTCAGCTAAAACAACCCAAAGCTCCGGGCAAATGAATGAAGGCACAAGTCAAACGCGTGTCCCAGTTTCAACAGGTTCCTCGACAGATTCTTCACTTTACTTTTCGCGTCTTATTAATCACGCATTGATGACAGTTTAATGACCGACTTGGTGGGACTTAAAAACCGGAGGATTTGTGACGTGTTGAAAGGCGCGCGTGAATCCCAAAAAGTCAGCATGATCGAATTTCTGCACGTCGATTATTTCTGACGCGGGGACACGTCCGGTGATAGAAGGGGAAAAAAGAGGAGTGGGGTGGGGGGGAAGTGCGGCGAAAGTGACTCGGAGAACATCGCGGGTTATGAGAGTATTTCCCCCAGCTGTGGAGCTCCAGCGGTCCAGACAGAGCGCAGCCTACTTGGCCACTCTGACCCAGACAGCTGGCAGCCGGCCCGCATGCATTACACCGGTACCTCAAACGCAACCCTCCGGGAGCCCCAGCAAATCAAAATAAACCGCGCCGCTTGTTATTATTATTATTATTATTATTATTATTATTATTAACATTCTAATTATTTGCTGCATGCAACGTGGAGATCTTCAAAGTTTGCATACGACCAACCTGCGGAACTTCACACTCTGCAAACATAAAAGAAAGAAAAGAAAAAAAAACCGGTGCGTAAAACGTTGCGTTTATTTCCAGGCAACCGGTTCCCAGAGCTCGTCCCATGCTTCAACTCGCGTCGCCCGAAATAAACTGAAGCTGTATGTAAATGCGGCCGTGCAAAAAACCCAGCCTGAGAGGATTTAACTGCACGCACCGTGAAACGCAGCGGGAAGATACCGACCTGCTCCCTGAGAGGTGAGAGAGAGGAGTGTGGGGAAGAGATTTACCATGCCCATCCTCACTGTCAGCTCCGGTCCGAGTGTGCAAAGTGAAGCTCGGCTCAAAAGTCTTCTCCAGCCCTTCTTCTTCTCCTTTTTTTTTTTTTTCCTTTTTAAAGTTCCGCACACAAACTTCCTCCACTATGCTCTTCTCATCTCCTTTTTGAATTCTGCCATCCTCTGCTGGATCTGCAGTGTGAGTTCTCCCCCCTCAGCCCGTGGGGACACCCGCAAAAAACTACAAGAAAAAAAAAAAAGTTTTTTTTTAGAGGAGTATTGGACTTCCAGCAGAAGGGTCCATTTAAAGTCTATCTACTCTCCTTTATAATCTGGACTTTGTGTTCATGCTTGTGGCTCAGCGTAGCTCTGGAAGGTTTGGATAGAGGAGGAAAGGAGAGAGAGGGGAGGGGGGGAAAGTGCATCAAACAGCAGCAAAAGTTGGCTGGGAGGCTGCTTCTCCTCACTGCGCAGAGGACCGGGTATGTCCAGGACGGCTCCAAATTGGCTGCTTTCTTTCTTTCTTTCTTTTTTTTTTTTTTTTTTTGCACAAACGGAGGGGGTGGGTGGGTGGTGACGTCGGTGCAGATGTGCCTCTCTTCCATCAGCTGTGCGCATGTCTATCAGTGCTGGTCTGAAATAACACTTGAGCTCTTTGAAGCCTTCACGGAGAAGACTCTCATCCCCAACTGGAGAGGCTCCGGGCAGTTGCACAGTGCTCTGTAGTAACAACGCACGCTTACATATTTCACATTCATTGTTTTAATATCGGTCAAATATAACAAAATTGGGATTTGAAACGAAGTTTTCACTTATTAAGGGAACATCTATCCAAATCAACGTTGAAGGTTAATTGCTCGTGAGCCCAATAAGCCGTTGCACCGACTAGTTATCAATAAATTAATCTGGAGTTGACTGATCTTGTCCACCAACTAACAATTCATTGATAAGCTGCCATTTTCTTAAAAACCTGAGTTTACTCTTGTATCAAGAGCGCCAACCGTCTTTCATATAAAAGGGCTACATTTTTCATGATATGCTTAATTGAAAAAAAAAAATTTTTACATTATTTTGTGTCAGCAGTATTGCACACTGAACATTATGGTTTTCTCACATTATTAAACGAGGACATATTTATATAAAATAAAACATGAACCTCTTACGTTGCTGAATATAGAAAAAACTAGAAAATTCCGCAGAAATTTTGAGGGGCATGCCAAAGTGTGCC